ACTCTCAAACTCTGCAACTCACACCTAGTACCTCATACCTGTACCTGATATCCTGTATCTAACACCCTGTACCTCACACCCTGTACCTCTCACATCCTGTACCTCACATTCCTGTACTCTCACATCCCTGTGCCTCACATCCTCAGTACTCTCACATCCTGTATCTCACATCGTACTGTCACATCCTGTACTTCACACTGCCTGTACTTTCACCCAGTACTCTCACACCCAGTACCTCAAACCCAGTACCTCACATCCTGTACCTCATATCCCTACTCTTACACCTGTACTTCTCACATCCTGTACTCTCACACTCCAGTACTCTGACACCCTGTACTCTCACCTCTGTATATCACACCCTTCTGTACTCTCACCCTGTACCTGGACACCCTGCACTCTCACATCCTGTACTCTCACACCCTGTACTCTAACATCCTGTACCTCAAACCCCTGTACCTCACACCTAGTACCTCACATCCTGTACTCTCACATCCTGTACTCTCACCCCTGAACCTCACATCCCTCAAAACTCACGCCCTGTACTTCACCCAGTACTCACTTCACCCAGTACTCTCACACCCTGTGTACTCTAAAACCCCAGTACTTTCAAAACCCAGTACTTTCACACCCTGTACCTCACATCCTGTACATCACACCCTGTACTTTCACCTCTGTACTCTCACACAGTGCACTCACATCCTGTACTCTCACACCATCTGTACTCTAACATCCTGTACTCTCAAACCTCCTGTGTACCTCACACCCTGTACTCTCAATATCCTGTACCTCAAACCCTTACTGTACCTCACACCTGCACCTCACTCTCTCTCTCTCACCTCACACCCTGTCCCTCACACCTGCACCTCACATCTCTGTACTCTCACACCCTGTACCATCTCACCCTGCACTTTCACACAAAGTGCACTCACATCCTGTACTCTCACACCCTCTGTACCTCAACATCCTGTACTCACACCTCAAACACCTGTACTCTCACATTCTGTACTCTCCACATCCTGTACTCTGTACCTCAAACCCCTGTATCCCTCACACCTCTGCACTCTCACTCTCTCACATCACCTCACACCCTGTACCTCACAACGTACCTCACATCCTCCTACTCTCACACCTCTGTACCTCTCACACATGTACCTCTGTACCTGTAATTCACATCCTGTACATCACACCCTGTACTCAACATACTGTACCTCACACCTGCAACTCACACCCAGTACCTCATACCTGTACTCTGACATCCTGTATCTCACTTCTGTACCTCACACCCTGTACCTCACATCCTGTACCTCCTGTACCTCTCACATCCTGTACTCTCACATCCTGCTGTACCTCACATCCTGTACCTCCTCACATCCTGTACTCTCACCCCTGAACCTCACATCCTAAAACTCACACCCTGTACTTCACCTCACTAGTACCTTTCACCCCAGTACTCTCACACCCTGTACTCTAAAACTCACGCAGTACCTCAAACCCAGTACTTCACACACCTGTACCTCACCCCTGTACATCACACCCCGTACTCCTGTACCTCACCCTGTACTCTCACACAGTGCACCTCACATCCTGTACCTCACACCCCTGTACTTCCAACATCCTGTACCTCAAACCCCTGTACCTCACACCCTGTACTCTAACATCCTGTACCTCAAACCCCTGTACTCTCACACTCCTGCACCTCACTCTCCTCACTCCTCACACCCCGTCCCTCACACTCCGCACCTCACTCTCCTCACCTCACACCCCGTACCTCACACTCCGCACCTCACACTCCGCACCCTACACCCCGCACCTCACGCTCCATACATCAGACTCCGCAAATCACACTCCGCACCTAGCACCCCGTACCTTAAATTCTCTACCTCACGCTCCGTACCTCACACCCTGTACCTCACACTCCGCATCTCACCCCTCCGTACCTCACATTCCGTACCTAGCACCTCGTACCTAACTCTCCGTACGTCACACTCCGTACCTCACGCTCAGCACCTCACACTCCTCACCTCACACCCTGTACCTCACACCCTGTACTTCACCCACTGTACCTAGCACCCCCTACCTCACACCCCATACATAGCACCCTGCACCTCACTCTCCGCACCTCACACTCCGCACCTAGCACCCCGCACCTCACTCTCCATACCTCACCCTCCATACCTCACGCTCCATACCCCACTCCCCGTACCTTACTCCCCGTACCTTACACTCCGTACCTCACACCCTGTACCTGTACACCCCTGTACCTCACACCCCTGTACCTCACACCCCTCTTACACCCCGTACCTCACACCCTGTACCTTACACCACCTAGTACCCTGCAACAATACCTCACACCCTGTACCTGTCACACCTGCACCTGGCACCCTGCACCTCACTCTCCGCACCTCACACCCCGCACCTCACTTCTCCATACCTCACACTCCATACCTCAAGCTCCCGTACCCCACTCCCCCGTACCTTTACCTCACACCCCTGTACCTTACACACTCCTGTACCTCACACTCCTGTACCTGTCACACTCCTGTACCTCACTCCCCCGTACCTGACATCCTGTACCTTACACTCCTGTTCCCTCATGCCTCCACCCCTCACACCCTGTACCTGTCACACCCCTGTACCTTACGTCCCATACCTCTCACCCCTGTACCTCATACCTCTGTACCTCACGCCTGTACCTCACACCCTGTGTCTGTCCCACCCCCTGTACCTCACACCTGTACTCTACCTCGTATGCCTGTACCTCACACCTCTGTACCTCTGTACAGCACCCCGTACCTCACACCCTATACCTGTCACACCCTGTACCTCACACAATTCCTGTACCTGTCACACCCCCTGTACCTCACACTCCTCTGTACCTCACACCCTGTGTACCTATCACACCCCCTGTACCTGTCACACCCCTGTACCTCTCACACCTGCACCTAGCACCCTGTACCTCACTTCCTCATACCTCACACTCCTGCACCTAGTACCCCTGCACCTCACTCTCCATACCTCACACCTGTACCTCCATCCCTGTACCTTTTGTACTTCCCTGTACCTAACACTCTGTACTCTCACACTCCCTGTACCTGTCACACCCTGTACCTCACTCCCCTGTACCTCACACTCCTGTACCTTACACTCCTGTACCTCATGCCTGTACCTCACACCTTGTACCTGTCACACCCTGTACCTCACGCCCCATACCTCTGCACCTCACTTCCTGTACCTCACACCCTGTACCTCACCCTGTACATCACACCCCTGTACCTCACCTCTGTACCTCACACAGTGCACACTCACATCCTGTACTCACACCCTCTACTACCTAACATCCTGTACCTCAAACCCTGTACCTCACACCCTGTACCTAACATCCTGTACCTCAAACCCTGTACCTCACTCTCCATACCTCACACTCCATACCTCACACCCTGTACCTCACGCCCATACCCACACTCCCCTTCACTGTACCTTACTTCCCTTCTGTACCTTTTACACTCCGTACCTCACAACCTGTACCTGTCACACCCTGTACCTCACTCCCCGTACCTCACACCCCGTACCTTACACTCCGTACCTCACACCCTGTACCTGTCACACTTCGCACCTAGCACCCCGTACCTCACACCCTGTACCTGTCACACTCCGCACCTGGCACCCCGCACCTCACTCTCCGCACCTCACACCCCGCACCTCACTCTCCATACCTCACACTCCATACCTCAAGCTCCGTACCCCACTCCCCGTACCTTACTCCCCGTACCTTACACTCCGTACCTCACACCCTGTACCTGTCACACCTCGTACCTCACTCCCCGTACCTGACATCCCGTACCTTACACTCCGTACCTCATGCTCCGTACCTCACACCCTGTACCTGTCACACCCCGTACCTTACGTCCCATACCTCTCACCCCGTACCTCATACTCCGTACCTCACGCTCCGTACCTCACACTCTGTGTCTGTCCCACCCCGTACCTCACACCCCGTACCTTACACTCCATACCTCACACCCTGTACCTGTCACACCCCGTACCTCACACCCTATACCTGTCACACCCCGTACCTCACACCCCGTACCTGTCACACCCTGTACCTCATACCCCACACCCCGTACCTATCACACCCCGTACCTGTCACACCCCATACCTCACACTCCGCACCTAGTACCCCTGCACCTCACTCTCCATACCTCACACTCCGCACTCCATACCTCACCTCCTCTCCACCTCTCACACCCTGCACCTCCATCCCTGTACCTCTCCCGTACCTAACACCTGTACCTCACACTCTGTACCTGTCACACCCTGTACCTCACTCCCCTGTACCTCACACCCTGTACCTTACACCTGTACCTCATGCTCCGTACCTCACACCTTGTACCTGTCACACCCCGTACCTCACGCCCCATACCTCTCACCCCGTACCTGTCACACCCCGTACCTCACACCCTGTACCTGTCACACCCCGTACCTCACACCCCGTACCTGTCACACCCCGTACCTCACACTCCGTACCTCACACCCTGTACCTGTCACACCCCGTACCTGTCACATCCCATACCTCACACCCTGTACCTGTCACACCCCATACCTCACACCTTGTACCTCACACCCCGTACCTAACATACCGTACCTCAAACTCCGCAACTCACACCCAGTACCTCATACTCCGTACCTGACATCCCGTATCTAACCCCGTACCTCACACCCCGTACCTCACATCCCGTACCTCACATTCCGTACCTCACATCCCGTACCTCACATTCAGTACCTCACATCCCGTATCTCACCCGTACCTCACATCCCGTACCTCACGTTCCGTACTTCACCCAGTACCTCACACCCCGTACCTCAAACCCAGTACCTTACACCCCGTACCTCATATCCCCTACCTCACACTCCGTACCTCACACCTCGTACCTCACACCCGTACCTGACATCCTCACGTCATTTGACCTGGGCACCCCCTCAATAAAGGATGTTTTCCTCACCTCGAGGCAGTAGATACATCCTTGTTCCAGGGGAAGCAAGGGTGGGTGAGTAGATCTTGTCCGGACTGGCAAACGCTGTAGCATGGCCTGTGCACCTTCCAGAAGAACCCAGAGTCTGGAAACTGTGACAACGAACATCATGGAAACATTTTCCTAAACAAACCAGTTTCCCTGAAGAAACCTCCCACAATACGTACTCGCGCACCTCCACATTATCGAAAGCAGGTAACGGTCGGACTTTCTCATTGACACACTTCTGACAATAATGGAAGTTGAGGACACAAATCATGACAGCAACTTTGTGGATCAGCGACATGCTGATCCTGTTCTCATCAAACAGCCACTAAAGCATGGTCACAGCTACTGACTTACTTTACTAGCTGTATTGTATTAAATATTTAGACGACTCTGGTTCTATAGAGACAACAATTGGCGAGACAAATATGGATATGTAAATTAGCGTCATTGATTGTAGAACAACGTGGGATTCCATGCCAGTAGACAGTGTTACTATAGCTCATTGGTGTGCTGTGGAATAATCATGTTTACCTCTATACAAGGCCACTGAATCGACAAGAATTTTCTCGTTGTTCTCCCATATCTGTACTCGTGCCTACATATGTGTACTTAATAGATCTGCATGGCGGTGTTTGTGAATCTGAGATATTGACTATTAAGTTAGAATTATGTGCAGTTAATATCAGATTATGTTAGGAATGTCACATTAAAACTGCCTCTAACTGAATCGCAAACCGAACATATTTTCAAAACCTCATTCTTTCCAGATTCCAAACTCTTGTGCAGCAAAGTAGTTAACAGTAACGTAATGTTATTGATTTCCACAAATTAAATCAGGCAATGATGCATGTTTTTATAGTCTGGTTTGTGTACAATCAACCGTCTCATCAGGGGAGTAATACATGAGGTGCTCATGAATGATTGATAAAACAGTCTTGAAGAATCACTATTTTAGATTAGGAACAGATCGCAAGTCTTCAGTTACATCATTTAGGTTAAAGGCACAATGTCACATATTTTCGACAATATTTTGGCCTACATTACATATATACTCTCCCAAAAAAGATACGCATATAGGAATTTCAACTGTCTTTTTATGTTTATTTTGAAACATCTTGTAGGCTTTATGAGTCAATGAAATATAGCAAAATTGCACACTGGGAATGCAAACTTATCCATCTTTGGCACCAGTTTGAGTCAGTTTGAGTGTCACATGGAGACGTGTGGTGGCGCTGAAGTCAATACCTCGTGTGACCACCGTGGGTATCCAGAACTGCACGGCATCGCCTCGGCATCGAACAAATAAGTCTCAGAATCTCGTGTTGCCCAATCGCAGCCCACTCTGCCTGTAGTGCCTGTGCGAGTTGCTGAAGTGTCTGGGGCTGAGGGTTACGGCGTCGCACCCGTCTGTCCAGGGCATCCCACAGATGTTGCATCGGGTTTAAGTCCGGTGATCTTGAGGGCCAGGGGAGCACATTGATGTTGTGGTTCTGGAGGACGTGCTGTGTGGGGCCTGGCATTGTCCTGTTGAAACAACTCCCCCTGGCGATCAATGATTGGAAGGAGGTGTGGGCGTAGGATTTCGTCACAGTATCGTTGAGCTGTCAGGTTGCCCTGAATTATCACCAAATCACTTCTACGGCAGGCGATCGCTCCGAATCTGTCGACCTGGGGAACGCAAGCGTCGGCGAAACGTTCACGTCGACGTCTGTACACCTGCATTCTTCCATCGCGTCGTTCCAATAGAAATCTTGATTCATCACTGAACCAGATTCTACGCCAATTCGGTAGGTTCCAGGCCTGAACGTTGGTGCACCATTGAACTCGATGTCGACGATGTTGTTGTCGAAGCACAGGGCCAAAATAAGGTCTTCTGGCACGTAAACCAGCCTCTCTCAACCTGTTCCTAACGGTCTGTGCAGAAAGCCTCCTCAATCCGGGTATTTGTCGAGCGGTACTGGTCGCCGTAGCTGTTCGATGACGCAGGTGATGTACGCGGATGTAGCGATCCTGCGCCGCAGTGGTCGCTCGAGGTCGCCCACTACGAGGGGCATCTGCTACCGACTTCTGCCGGCGATATCTCTCCCAGAGCCGTGAAATGGTGCTTTGGTGAACATACATGCGTCGGGCAACTGCACGTTGAGACTGGCCAGCTTCAAGCAAACCAATGGCGATATGACGGTTGGCTTCACTTAGACGTGGCATTTTGCGTTCGTCAACAATAGTCCAAATACAGTGAATAATCGACAGACAGCGATCAACCTTTTATACCCATCATTGAGACTATCTGATCCCCAACTTTCACGTGCATTGCATGTGAATTGTGCATTCTGTGACACAACACGCCGAAATTGAAAATCATGCTGTTAAATACGGGTATTTTACGGATGGTGCGTTTTGTTGTGATGTTTCAAAACATAAACACCATAGGACTCATAAACAGAGCAAAACCTTTTGTAAAATGAATCACGTTTTAATTCACTGCTACATGAAATTGCTATTTTCATGATGCGTTTCTTTTGGGGGTAGTATATATATATATATATATATATATATATATATATATTGTTGCTTATGCACAGACTTTAGCTTCTTATTTGTGCAATAAAAGACGTATTATCCCTTACGACTTGATGGAAATCGATAATTGAAACTTCGAGGTGAACAGCTTCCAAACAGATGTGAAGCCCATTTCTGGTGTCCCCCGCCGTGATGTTGCTGGAATATTGCTAAAAGCGGCGTAAAACCAAAACTCAGTCAGTCAGTCAGTCCAAACAGATAACACTTGCCATATATGGAATGTAAACAATTGCTCCGTTCATCGAAAACTGTCGTACGCGGTGTTGTCTGTGGTTTCAATCACAAGTTGCGTTATAGGATATTCATAAAGAGCGCTCCAAGGGGACATAACTCTATGGGTTCGCTTGAAATAATGTTCGGCCGGTAGAGGGCGCGAGTATCGATTTAATGCAACGTTGCATAATTCATTCTTTTTTAATTTCATATTGCAATCTAAATACAGTGGACTCCCTGTAAAGCGTCATCCCTCTAATCCGACATTCCTGTAAACCGATATATTTATTTTGTCTGGAATTTGTCCCTATATAATATCACATAAGAAATTCTCTCTACTCCGACATCTAACTATTCCGAATTCGACACTCAAATCCGGTCCCAAGACATGTTTTAGTGCAAACTGACTCTCTCTAAACCGACATTGTAATTTCTCAAGAGACTGTATCCGCCAACACATGTTGTGCGTGTGTTCACATTTTAAGTGCTGTTATGATTCATTGACATTGAGATCATCTCAATTTAGCAAGAGTATCGCCAAAGCAAAGCCTTCTGACCACGTGCACCCGCCAAACCGCCATCACTGACCTCTTTGTTCATCGTTAAATATCATTAAAACTTCATCATTTGTTATTAACAGAGGATATTTAATAAAAAAGAGGCATTGATATAAACATATATGTCACTGTGTTTGTTCAGTTTTGTCTGTGTGTGGTTTTGGACTGAGTTTCTAAAAACTCCCTCTAAACCGACATCCCTCTAAACCGACATTTTTCACCGGCCCTAGAGATGTCAGTTTAGGGGGAGTCTAAACGTAATTTTCTTTTGGAATAAATTATACGGTAGCTTCCATGAGGGCTGATACTTATTTTTTAGTATTATTGAGAGAATTGTGGTGTTATATAGTGTCTTTAATGACATAATTGGATTATGTACCTTATGTATTGTATTGACGCTAGATTTAATGGCTATCCATATAATGAGCGCCATCTGCACATGTACACTCAACGATCATTTAAGTCTACACAATAGAGAAAATTAATGTAAACTTTATTCCTGATATACATGTTTATCCAAGAAGAAATATCGACCCAGTGAAACCTGCAATAATATTTATATCAAATAATATTTTTAATTTCAGCATTGTGATGAAATCCCCTGAGTCTTTGTCAGAGTTTTGTTTTCTTTGGTTTTTGTTCGAACCAAAATGTTTGAAGTGGTTTTAAAATAATATGAATGGAAACAAGCTAAACCAGCGTCCAAAAGAGACGCCATGAAACAGTTTTCTTCACTAAAACACAACAAAAGCAAATTATGGTAACAAAGTGTTGTATTGTAAAACACAATCAGTCAGCAACAGTTCTTGAAACTTTTCAGTTAGTAGAACGAAACAGTTCGTGTTCTGAGGGCACATGGCATGACACAGGGGTGCAGTGTCCAGTATTCGATCGCCAACGCTGATTCGTCTTTAAGGTCTTAAACTGTCCTGAACAACACAGATGATTCAGTATCGTGTGTGGCCACCCCTAGCAGTGATGCAGGCTCTAACGCGGCGTCGAACTAAGTATGTGAGCCTTCTGACGTCATCATTAGGGATTCGGCTCCATTCCCTTGCAGGGCAACTGCCAAAGCGTCCCTAGTCAATGGTGGCTGTTGACGTTTCCGAGTACGTTGCCCCAGTTGGTCCCAGAGGTGTTCGATTGGAGACAGATCGGGTGATCTCGCTGGCCACTGTAGCAGGTTGACGTTGTTAGTGTTGAGGAAGTCACTAGTGATCCGAGCTGTGTGAGGTGTGGCGTTGTCCTGTTGAAACAGAGTCCTTGGGTGACGTTGCAGGTAAGGCAGCACCACAGGCCGTAAAATCTCGTCGATGTAACGACGTGCGGTGAGCTCGAGATTACCGTTGATGATGACGAGATCTGTCTTCTGGTCCCCACAAATTCCACCCCAGACCATAACGCTTCCACCGCCGTATTGCTCCACTTCTTGGATGCAAGCAGGTGCCGTCCGTTCGCCCCGCCGTCGGTAGATTCGAACACGACCATCAGATTTGAAGAGCTGGAACCTGCTCTCGTCGCTGAAGAGCACTCTTCGCCAATTTCGCTGCTGCCACTGCATTACGGTCCTGACCCACCTCAATCTGGCACGTCGGTGGCGGAGCGTTAACGTCATGCCCTTGAAAGGTCGATAGGCATGAATACCATGCTGACGGAGTCGTCTTGCTACGGTCTGTCTGCTGACTGCATGGCCAAGGCTATTGGCGCTTGATGACGTCATAGTGAGGTAGCGGTTTCTCAGATGAAGCACCCGTAAATATCGATCTTCCTGTGGTGTCGTGACCTTGGGTCTGCCATTCCTGGGTCTGTCAGCAGTACTGCCAGTCTGTCTGTAACGTGTGACAAGTCTGGCGATGGTGGACTTGCAGCATCCCATGAACCTGGCCACGTGCTCCTGTGTTGCGCCCATCTGAAGCATACCAATTGCTCTTTCCCTCTGTTCTTTGGT